CTACGAGAAGAAGGAAACAAAAAAAGTAATGTACTTAAATAGCGAGTAATTTTATAATTTTAGATTATCTAGTAAGCGATTTTGAATAATAAGATTGTTTTGCGTTGATCTCTAAATAAGCTGTGCTTGAAAATAACTTTATATGGCCTACTTAAGGAAAACTCACGCGATAGGTTGAATATATGAAGCAGCATCCGGTCGATACATTTCCTTCTTCATTCCTAAATTCATAAAAAAACACTTTTATGTATATGGTAATTTCTACAGATTACTTAAGAGAACACTGTTATGTCTTTCACAAAAATGAATTTTACATACGAAATACAATTGACTACTACCCCACTCAATGCCATGGTAAAAATAGGAATACTAACCTTTAAAAAACTGCGATAAAAAAAGCCTTTCGAACCGTTTTCTTGAGAATCTTTATAAATCCATTATTTCAAAGTTTTAATCTTACCCATAAATCGTACTAACTGATCCATAACAGCTCCTCTTGAATGATTATGTGTACCCATTTGGAAGGCCCCTTCGGCAATGTATAGGATTGTTCTGTCAACAAGTCCTTCGATCGCGTTGTCGGAATAAGCTAAAGTCGAGCTTTTTTGCAAATTCATTGTTTTTATTTTTTTAACCTCATTCATTGAGAAAGAAACGTGGGGTTAGCTGTTTGGTACATGTGTTTGTATAATAACGTCAGAAAATTTCAGATCAATTATTTCACAAAGTCACCCTCTTCGTCAAAAATTTGAGAAGTGAGATGCAGAGTTTTGAGATCTAGATACCTAATTATGTAAATTTCTCTAAATGAGCTTATTTTATAGCCTTAAAGCATGAGAATGAATAAAAACAATAATAGATATAATTAGTCAATCTTCACCTGCGTATTTCTTGCTTTTGCGAATTAGAACGTATGGCTGGTCACCAATCCAGCGGTCTGCATGGAACCATGGCTTATATTCCTGAAGGTGAATAAGATTATTTTTAGGATTTCTAGTTATCCGTCGTTCAAGGTTTTTTGCAAGAAATATTGCTCAAAGCCCAGTTTGTGGGCTACTGTCTTACTGCGAGAATAGTGTGTCTTTTGTTTCCTTTCTCGTTATCAAAGTTTTCAGTGAAAAGAAAGCATTTTGGTGAAAAACATGTGAAAATAATTCCTACTTCTTAAGATTTAAAGATTCAAAATATCTCAGTCCTTAGCCGCGATTAGCCCCGAAGGTTTTGTCAGTCGTTCTGGTAGAAATCCC